TAGCATTTTTTCACAACTGCCTAGAACTTTTGCACAGTACTGTATATCAATAAACATAAATTAAATTATCTAGGGTTGAAAAAGATCAAGCATTAATGAATAGTTGACAGTTCATCATTTTATAGAAGAAAGAAGTACTTAAGCAAAAAGGCTTAATTAATTTAAGGAGTTGCCAACAGGCACTATGTACAATCTCACGTGTGCTCTAAAGCACACATTTTCTCTTTGACTCCAAAGTGTAGTGCAGCCCCAATAAAGAACAATTACTCATACATATTTTAATTAAATTCTTTTTAATAATTCAAGCGTGATTTAAATGTAGTATTCATAATGTAATCAAAGACTCATGGAATTCAAGAAAACGTGCATCAGGAACTTCCACAGCAATGCTATTCAGGATTAAAAAAAGAGGGAATAGAAAGGAAAATGCATCATTTAAGTGTGGCTCTCTGTCAGTGGCTGTCTATCCATTACTCTGATGTATTATGGGATATAATAAAATGTAGTGTTTGGTTAATTTGCTTATTATAACATCTGCATTCTCACAGTACTTCTGAGTGAGGTTATAATGTAATTACTAGGCCTGGTTTTAGGATTAGAATAATGGCTTCTGCTTTGATTACAGTAGCTATGGAAAAGAGACTTCAACAGACAAAAAATGACAGTCAACACATTTTAATTGACAGTAGGACCTTAAGAAAGATGACTGAGCAGGGCAGGACATTCTTTTTAAGTTGCAAAGATCAGTGAAAGATTAAAATTAAGTCTATTGAGGAAAGACAACTGAGTGTTGGCTTATGGCTGAATAAAACAGAGCTTAGAGCTGCTAATAGCACATTTTTTAGTTTGAGGGAACCTTCCTGGAAAAAACGATCTTGAGGCTAAAGCTGGTGGTCAAGTTAGCATGAAGTTATACTAGTAAAGAGGTAATAAATGCCAGTAGGTTTCTGGAAAAAGTCTGGCTAAGTGGAGATTTAGGCAAAGAAATCTAAAAAGTAAATCAACCTGAAAATCAAGGGCAACCAAAAGGCTAGAGGAAGAGGAATGCTGAATCATATTTGTTCTGTTTGTGTGGGATAAGACTACATTCAGCTTAGTGAAATCTCGTTTCAGGAAAAAATGATTGAGAGATTTCTTAAGGGTTATCAACAGTAGCCTAGCCTATAAAGTCTCAGTAAAGTTGAGATATTCCAAATGATATGCACAATAAATACTCTGGCTACATAACAGAACAAGGCTCATAAGAATTGTGGAGTTTTGTTTTTGTTTAATTGTTGTAAATTTCATTAAAAGCTTGCAGGGACTTCCACAGTCCCAACATTTTTAAACAGGGGCATATATATTGATGTTGGAAGCAAAATAATCAAGAACATGAGTGACACTCTGAATGGAAAGCATGCTATCATAATGTACTGCATACTATTCCTTCAACTCCATCTATTTTCATTTTATTTATCAATGTGCATCTTTTTCCCATCAGGAAACAAAAAGTGGGGCAGTTATTACTAATATTTTGGTTCTATTACTTCTATTATACTTTCATTATACTGATACCATTTGCTGCTTTTTAAAACAAGCCCTCAGAACATGCACATGCCAACCTTATTATTCCCAGTATCATAATTCTAACCCTTTAGCTGGTTTCTACATAGCACCACTAGTGCACATATATTTCTACCATTAATCCACAGAGATGTACATAATAACTAGTTCCTACATGGGAGGAATGTAGAATAGGCAATTTTTTAAAACAAAAATCACAGCACATCTTTGTATGATCAATGGCTATGTCCTTCCAAACAGAACTGAAATCCTTCTTTAAGGAAAAATCCAACCGATAAAAAACATTTTTGTTCTGATAGACTGCTGTGAACATCACTGTTGTTGTTAAAAATGATCACTGTTCAGAAACAATAGGGAATAATCAAGGAATATTAAAGTAAACGGTTTTCAGAGGAACAGAACAATGGACCTAATACCTCAAATCTCTGATTGCTGACTTTTTTGCCCTTCTTGTTCCAGACAATTTTAGGCCTTGGGTCTCCTGTAGCTTGGCAGATGAATGATGCGACTCCTCCAGAGACCCCTGTCTGGTCAACAGGTGTTCTTGCAAACTTTGGTGGTGCTAAAAAAGAAAACAGTAAAACAAATGTAAGCAAGAAATACCCAAAATAATATGTCAGGATTTCAAAAATAATAAACCAAAACCAATAATATTAACCTTCAGAGCAAAGTTTTGAAAGAAAATGCAAGTTGATATAACACAATTAGCTACATTACAATATGCCAGTTCCAGGCAGGATTTAACATATTATACTTATGTTAATATTGCCAGAAATGATTATACATATATAACATGCATGAAATAGAAAATAAAATCTAATTGAAGTTCCTTATTATTTGTACACTCTGCAATTATAAAATGTTAATCAATGTGCTATATTTAAAAATGCCATATAGGATATTTTATCCAAACAAGACAAAAACATAAAGGGCATTGTGTGTGTGTGTGTGTGTGTATGTACGTATGTAAATAAATAAATAAATGAATGAATGAATAAAGCAAGCTACACTCTTATCATTTTTGTGGGTCCACTGGCTTCGTTTGCATTAAATATGCTATGGGAATCAGTCAATTAAATCAGTCAGTAAATTGAACCAGTCAATTAAGCCAGACACTATATGTAAACCCTAATAGATCCAATGCTGTTCAAGAGTATACTGTTAACCAGTAATCAACTAATTCCCCTGTATCATGAACTATTTATTTTCTATTATTTATTTATTTATTATTAAATTTATATATCGCCCATCTCCCCAGATTGTTTAATTGTTGTAAATTTCATTAAAAGCTAGCAGGGACTTCCACAGTCCTAAACATTTTGAGATAATAATAAATTATCTTAATAATTCATTCAGATTTCTTAATTTCAGATCAACAAT